ACACACACACATGCACACACGCACACACACACACACACACACTACACACACACATACACACACACACACACACACACACAAGAATTTAAGGAGGAGAGATAAGGTAAGGACGACAGGTGGATTTTTTGTTTTTGTTTTGTTTTTGTTAGTTACACCGTATGTAACTGCATAAGGTCATACATGTACACATGTATTATTATCATAATTATGAGAGCGCTAGACACATAAAAGTTCAGTTTGGTAGGAATTAATTTTGAATTTTGCCCGGGTGGCGGCCGAGTCGAAGCCTACTCTTATTTTTTAAAAATCGATTTTGGACCACCAAGGGATCTTTTACATGCGCCACTTGCATACGGGACTTCGTGGGGACGACGAAAGAACATTGTTAGAGAGCAGTAAAGGAGGTGAAAAGAGAATTTTCTTTATAAGAAAATTTTCCCTCGCTGTCAGGTATCAATCCCGGAATCTATTGAATGAGAGGCGAACACCGTAACCTCCAGACTAGACCACGAGAGCCGATACATTTGATAAGAAAGAACTAGGCTAGCAAACCGCACTAGAGCATCTGCCAACCACCCGCAAAACTATAAGTTAGTAGACGGCTTCGTCCTATGCAAAATCAATCAAACAAACAAATCAAAAACACAAAACAAATCTATATTTATCACTCTTTTACTGTGCTGCAAATAAGAATACAATAATATATATATAAAATCCACTAGAATTGATCATAATTCTGTGCACTGCACATCTCAAGAGAAAATAACACATAGATCTAGTAAAATCTACTTTTAGAGGAAGGGGCGTAATACAGTAAATATTTGCTGCAAAATAATCTTAGTTGTGACTATTTCCCTTATACGCCACTTTTTAATAGGGGTGCCCATTTGCACGATCGGTTCGGTTTGGTTCGGTTAGGTTCGGTTTGGCTGGCAGGGGTAGCGAGATTGTGGGCACGAAACTACTATCGTAGGCCTAGCACAACACGATCGTCTGACTCGCAGTCGCAGCCTAAAACCCCCCCCACCAAGAAACAGGTGCGAATTGGATGATCAGTTTGTCGATGGTAGTAGATCCCCCAATGGGCACTGGGTGGGTATAATCGTATAATTAGGGGGTGCCCATGAACGCGATCAGGTGGGGTCGGGTCGTTTTCTGGTTGTTTCAATGTCTTGGGTATTGGCAAGAGAAGAAAAAAAAATATGAGGGGAAGTGGAACCTGACTTCGAGTTGGGGAAGTAAAGGCGGCGAGGAAAGGAACTGGCCACCCTACCTCAGTAATTATGCAGAAAGCCCAAGAAGTTGTCTTACTAACAAGGCAATCCCCAATGTCCAGGTCGGATGCGGGAACAACTTTACTTTTTTTAGGGGAAGTGGGCACTGTACAACTAAAAACTTTTGATTGGTTGGCCAGATTTTAAAGAAAGTCTATACTGTTCTTGGCCTCCAAAGATTAAATTTCGTTAATCATCAATTTCGCATTTATTGATTTTTGTTTTGTTTATAACTTTTAACAAAAGATTGACAAAATTATTTAATCAAAATTTTATCTTTGTTGTAAGTAAAACAAAACAAAACAACAAAAACTACTAAATATGCCGCAAAAGAACTAAAACACTAAAACGACCCCCAAAACTCACTAAATTCAGTGGTAAAAAACCCCCTAAGAATTATATTATGGCAAATGGCAACATTTCCTTTCCCATTACGAACCAATATTCGATACGCATTCTAAATAATTTGATATCGACAAATTTCCGACTGAGAGGTGTTCGATTAAAGTGGTATACACAGCCGATTTCGCGCTGCAGTTGGGCCTTGCCTAGATCTTGGAGTTTATTTTAGACATGATAACAAATTTTTGCTTTTCATGAAATGTGCACGGTAAAGACTGTCTATAGAATTATAGCGACCTGGATGTTCGGCTGAGCATTATTCTTTTCCATACATCTGATTTTTCACGAAAATTCGAACAATCGAGTTTGAGTTCGATGCCTCGACTCCTGTATTAAATACAATACTCGATTCCTTTGCATCTTTTTTTGGAAGTTGCAAAATGGCAGACTCCACAAACTTTGACTTCTTTGTAAAAGTTTCGGCGAACGACTGGCGGTTCACGAAGAGGTGAAAATGTTATATAGACATCTACTTAGAACTTAGATTAATTAGGAGAAAGCTTTACGATCTCTAGATCTAGATCTATATATGTAGATCTAGATTCTAGGTCTAGACTCTATAAATAATGTGTGGACCGCTCTCCTCAAATTCTGTACTGTACTGTGTGTAGTGTAGACTAGATTTAGAAGTTCTCACCTCTGAAGTACTGAACTGAAAGTAAGTGGGAATCAGAACTTGTAAATTGTTTTGATTTTCTAACTTGTTTTTAACAACCGGGGCATCTCAGCACACTCACTACTCGCACATTCATCCCCTTGCCTTAGAATCACATGGCTCTCTTCAGGAAAAGTGGTCCCGGCCTAACTCCATATATTCAATGGCTATGCTATTGTTAGGGGACCGTACGCCCCAATAGCGCTTGGCGCTAGGGGACCGTACGCCCCCATAGTGTTTGGCGCTAGGGGACTGTACGTCCTTTGCGCTGAGGCTTGGTGTTACGGGACCGTGCGCAGATACGTGCATGCATCCAAAAATACTGTAAGAAAACGGCCTGTTTAACGAAGTTCCTGACGTAAGGAGTTATTACCAAGAGAATGTTTAAAATATCTGAATATGATTGTGAGGTATCCAGTGGCCGTGGGTGA